TCACTTGCAATTCAGGATGATAAATGGCCAAAAAGCTTCAAGGAATTATGAAGTATCAAGTAACATTTGGAGAGCAGAACATACAATATGTTAAAAAGAATAATATCTTTGCTTTCCAACACCACCAGATGCCTGTGACTGGGCAGGGTGACCCACCCATCATCCCTCACAGTGCTTCATTTCCACAATTTCACCAAATCAATAACATCTAATGGTAATGATGGCTACTAAACTGACAGCTGAATTCTGAGCTCACATAACACAGTGAGATTTTAATCTTCAGAGTTGCACTGTACTCAGGATATTTCAATTTGATAATGTTAACAGCTGCCTACCTATTCCACTTCACTTGAACGCTTTTCCTTCACCCATAAATTTTCAGTGCCTGCCAAAGTTGCCAGCATGGAACCGGTGGGAAAAACACATCCCAAGGTCTCCAGAAACAAAAGTCCAGCACAAACCAGTGTGAATTTACAAAACCAACAGGCTTAAAATTTTGACTCTGGGAAGAGACTAGGAACATCAGTTTTTTCAGCCAAGATATACAGAGTTTTCTTCCAGTTCCACTGTTTTCAAATCCCCTTATACAGCACAGACAGGATTGAAGATATGCCTTCATAACTGGACAGGAAGGTACTGAAATAGAGTAATTTAAATAAAGGAATGTTGATCTAATTGGCCAACACTGCAGATAGTTAGCTGATGTTGGATAAAATCCTAAAGTTATAGTTGTTCTACACTGTTCATCTGTAATTCCTATTAACATAAATATGTTACTAAATCTCCCACAGAAAGCAGCTGTGGTAAATGACTTCTGTAGGCTTAAAAGCCAACAGTAATAAAGTATTATTTCCATTAAAAAACAACAACAACAATGCTTATATGAAACTTTGGTTTCAGTGGAACATTATTCAAAGTTATTTCCTATCTGAAATATGTGCCCCTGCAAAACAGCTACATAGCTATTGCCTTCCTACCATGATTCTTGCAAGTCCAAGTTACACCAATTTTCTCTGTACAGCCCTGGATCTGCTCAAAAGTTTTGGGGCCATCTTTATGCCAGTCCTCCTCAATGACTTAAGTTTACTATCAAGTTAGGAACAAAGGATCGGGAAAACTTACTCAAGCCACTGAATTCTGTTCTCTACAAGCCCAGAAATAAACTACAGTAGGTATTTCAACAAGCTACAGGTTATTTGTTCTATTACACTATCACTTGAGGTGAGGGAATGATGATGAGGATGACACAAAAAACACACCTAAAAATTTTTAAAAAAACAACAAAAATTAAAAGTAATAAACAAAAAAGGCAGAAAAACCATAACTACAGCATGCCATGGGAAGTTAGCAGAGAGGTAAGGCCTTGCCCATGTCCTAAGTCTTTACAATAGTTTGCAGCATATTAAATACTTATGGTCCAAAGAAATTGAGAAACTGATACAGATAAAATTATCCTTAAATCCAAGCCAGCTACTTTAGACTTGATAAAAGGTGATAAGCGTTACTAGAGATTAAGAGGGTGTCAGTGAAGATACACACAAAAGTAAAACGCTTCAAAATAACATATTATCCAAAAAAACCCCTCCAAGTCTTTGTATAAGCCTGTTTCTATACATAATCTTTCCAAGCACTCTTTACATAAATGAGGTAAAATTTTAATTACTTTCTTTTTTTTTTTTTAATATGAAAGCAGTATGAATTGATGATTCTAATAAAACATTTCATACTGCAACTCACAATGTCTTACTGAAAACATCAGTTCAAAATGGCTTGCAGTGCGGAGAGGTATGGGCTGGAATTTGGGTTAAAAGATCATAAATTGGAGATAATGGTGTATCCACATTATTTAAACTTGCCTTCTGTTCATCTTTATTTATAGTCACCATAGGGACCTCAGATAAAAGCACCACTGCATCAGAGGAGCATGCGGTGAAAGCTCTGAGGAAAACTTAGGTACAGTTCACAGACTGATACAAAGCTGATAAAATGCTGACTTTGCCAAGTGAGAAACATTCCGAGGAGAAGGAGCTTTTAGAGGCCATCAAGAAGAAAGAAACACAGAGTTAAATCCACCAACTCTAAAAGCTGTTGTAGAAATAAAAATAGATGCAGCCACCACCTGTAAAGGTGTCTGCCCACCAGAGGCGTGGAACAGCATGGGCTGGCAGCAGCAACCCAGAGCAGAGGCAGCCCCGCTGCTATTTCCCCATAAACTGGCCAAGTCCTCACAGCATCCCAAGACTTGAGCCTCTCACAGTAAGCCTGTGATTCCCCTGAGCTGTGGAATCAAGACCACAGCAGCATTAGCTCTGTTACCTTGTCCTATGCTCACCCAGAAATACAATTGTTTTCCTTCGTTATTCAGCTGACTGCACTATGGAGGCAGAGTTGGATGTGGACGTAATTTAATAAGTTTGTGATATGACTAGAGACGTTTGGCACACTCTGAACAACCAGTGATTCAGTAACTCACCAAGGCTGATTACCTTGGAGGTTCTGACAGGAAAAATAATGTTTTCCTAAAGGCTGAAGTAAATTCTACTAAAAAAACTAGCAACACAAGACTAAAGTCAAGATGCCATTTCTATATTGCTATTGATTAAGCCCATAGCAGGACTTCTGCTCCACTGAAATGTAATACCTATCCCTTGGTACCTCTTTTTTATGCACTTTGGTCTTTACATCCCATGAGCCCTTTACTCTCACTCTGAAGAGGTAGTTGGTTCAGGCTTCTCAGCCATCCACAGAAAACTGTAGTCTTCAGAAAGAAATTATTTCCCCTCCGTCAACTGATTTCCGAAGCTGAGCCAAAATAATCACACCATGAGCATACTTATAAGGTGCACGGTCACCTGAAATATGCAGGGTTTGCTTCATTTCCAAGCTACATTTGTCATTCACAGTGCTTAACTGCAGGCATATAGCAAAATGTTATGATAATAAAGAAGGAGTTTCAATAGCATTGTTGAAAAATAAGTTAAAGCAGAAATTTAAGAAGAATTTGATAAATCTTGAAACAGGAAAAAGCTGAATGTGCAATTTCAGCATCATGGCTTTTCTTCAGTTCTTGATCTTGTCTCAGCTTTGAAAGCAGATCCCTCTCTCCAACTTCTTCATGCTCTTTAAATCAAGGGTCCCCCTGGACTAATGTAATCCATATGCTTACTGTTGCTTACATGGTATTTGCAAGGGTCAGCTCAGCTGAATTATGACCCCATCACACACAGTTCCCTACTGTTGGCTACCTCTATCACAGAAAGGCATACTTGGAGATAAAATAAACAATGTGATGAGTGTGAAGTTTATTATGTTTTCAAGAACTGGTTTTATGTACATTTTTGACAGACATCAAAACAATAGTATTTTGATAAGATATTTGATTTAATATCTTTAAATATAATCAGAAATAAATTAAGTAAATGTGACACATGTTAGTAAAGCATCAGTTGCATATTCATTACTGAGCAGACACAGAAGCAACTCTTTTTTTCCCTTTTAGAAATCAGACTTTTGTATTAGAGGGGACTGGATCAAGAATTTCACATGAGGATCTTCTTGTGTTTACCATTTTAGAAAGGTCCTACATTCTACATGGCCTAGTGTAGGATGAGCAGTTGGTTCAGTATTTGCTAAGGAAGATGTTGGACATGCATAAATAAATAAAGTTCTCACTCTCCCGCTAAGGAAACGCAAACTGATCACAGGACAAGAAAACGAACAACTAACAGAACCTTGCTTGAAACCAATGGGTTTTTTTGTCTAAGAACAGGATTTGCTGTATTTATTGCATTTCCCAATGACAGTAAGAGGGTTTGCACTGCACAGAGCCAGTGCTGTGGGAAGCCGGAGCATGGGCAGGAGACTGGATTGCAACAGCTGCTGCAAGCATACAACTGTGAGGTAGGGAGCTGTGCTGCCCAGATCAGGGGAAGCCAGAGGGAAACACTGCTCTCCAGGATGTGTTAGACAAAGCAGGAATGCGATGGGTGCCCTAAGGAGCATGTGCCATACTGACAGGGAGAAAGCATGCAAGCTCAACCAGGATGCTCCACAGTCCTTGAGGCAGAAACTAACTGCACTCAGGTGTTAAGAAGGGCTGGGGAGAGGAAGAGAGAAACAAGCTGCTGGTGGAGCTGGGGATGGCAACAAGCCTTTAATCATTTATATCGTAAGTACTGTGCAGTAGAAGGTGTTCAACAGCACACTTAAGAGTAGATTCAAAACTCAAGTGATGACCATTTCTGGCCCAAGGAAGGTATCTCACCAGCTTTTTATACTTAATGGGCTGTCAACTCCCCTGTGGACTTGTTTTCTATTATACATTTCACCTAAAGGACTAATATATGAAGCATACTGCTGCCTAAGACTTAACAGAGCCAACAACATAAAAAGAACAGGATGCTGATCCTCCATCATTTCCTAAAACACGAAGTAGTATCTGGATGCAGACATGCGTGATTTTCTCAATTTGTGTTGTGCTGTGGTTGTATGACACTCTAAAAAAACAAAAACCAAAGACTTGTCATAAAAGCAAGTCACTAATGTTTTGAAACTTAACAACTTCAGTGGCGTTGCATTTGCTTCCTCTTAGCATTATTTTTTAAACCCACGGGTGAAATATACTCTTACGTGCCGTGGTTCCCTTAGCAGATGTCCTCTGAGCATTTGTAGCTTGAGAAGCAAATAGCACATATCAAACCCATGCCTTCACACATGAAACTTTTTAGTAGACTAGCCTTGCTAGCTTTTAATTTGCAGTTGGGTCTAGTGGGTGCATGTCAGCTCCACTACAAAGAGATTTAATTAGTCTGTAATTTGATGCTGCAACACACCAATTAGACAGACCAGTGAAGGAGGACATGGAACCACAGAGCAAGAAGATTTGCATGAACCTGGAAGCAAGGACAACTGCTGTGTCCAAGCCAACTACTGCTAATCACTGCAGTGGCAATATAAATAAGCAAATAATACAGAGAAAAGGGCTAAAGCTTTGTCCATACCTGAGACACAGAAGGTCGAGGGGGCAGTGCAGGTGGTGGTGGGGGCAGCCAGCCGGACCTCACAGCTGAACAGTGGGAAAAGAAGAAGATGATGATAAAAAAAACCCGCAACCAAACAAAACTACAGTAATTCAATTCCAAGTAAAACCAGAATTAATTCCCATGAGAAGGTGGAATTCCTCTTAGTGAAGGGGCAGTATATAACATTTAATAACAGAAACCAAACTTGATCTTTACTGAGCAAAACCTTGTTTGAAATAACTTCACAAGTAGTGAAGGAGTAGTGATTTAATTGCTGAAAAACCCCCAATGTTATGATAAAAAGCTGAGATAGAAGCCAGTCAGTCATAAAAGCTGTAGTTAAAACAATCCAATTCTAGTTAAAGAAACCCAGAAACAGGGCCCTCCTGTCCTCGGGACTGTGTTCTTTGTCATTAACAATATTGCCCTTCTTAAAAGTGATATTTTAACATCCAGTGTAGACACTGGCATTCACTTCAGATAAAACACACTATAGTACAGCCTTAGAAAGAAAACATCTGCCATGGAATTAACAGGACAAAAGCCTAAATGAAACAGAAACAAATCCATTTCTTTGGCTTTATGTTTTATATTTGCATGTTACTACTCAGTGGAGATGTTTCAGAGGGAGGAGGAAGACAAATCCTAGTAGTTAGTTCAGGTCCCCTTTAACACAATGCAATGTCAGCATTGAATCTGAACCAACACAAAGGGAGGATAATAATCACGTAGGTTCAACCACTGTATTTCTCAGTTTTCTTAAAATACCTAAACCCCTTCACAGGACAAAACTACAGGACAGATGATGGCTTCCAAAGGCAGCTGCAGAGAGGAAGACTAGGCTAGCAAAGAGACACCAACCAGGACTAGTGAGATTCCTTAGGTGGGTTACCCTCCCCAGGCTCCAGTTGCACTGAGTGCTCCAGGACTTGCACTGGCAAAGATACCCAAGAGTCCATCTTGCACCGGTGTATTTTTGTATAACAAAAAAACCTCCAACAATAATAAACTTAGAAACCTTTTGCCACAATAATGCTAAGAAAGTAATTACATTAATACACTTTTTATTTCCACGCATATTTTACAAAGCCACAAAGACCCTTAAGAGCCTTGTTATAGCTTAGCCATTTATATATTTTTTACACCAACGCTAAAAATGTCTGCCTGGTTGAAAATACGAAGAAAAAAGGTATCAACCATTAAGAATAATTGTGACATGAGAATAAAAATGTGTGTGTGAAAACACTGGGAGCAGTCATATCGACTATATAAGCTCCAAAGAGGCTTATAATACATTGATTATTTTTCCATCCTCTGTGTCATCATCTCCTGAATCAAAATGAAGCCTAGTATTGCTGCACATAATGCCGAAGAGAGAGTTAGAACAACTAAAACAGAACTGAAGCTATGCAAGGGAGCCACTAACACACCTACAGGTGTAAGAGAGATTTGAAAAAATATGGTCATTAGGATGCTTTCTCTTGCATTTCATTAGTTCAGTTTATAAGACCCCTGCAATAACAGCATGATGTCATCACTACATTCTCCATCTATCCTGTGCAACCAGTCTTGAGAAAAGAACAGCAGAGTAAGAAACCTTCCTTTCCTTTAGTCTGAACTTCAGGTTATTACTTCATTTATCTGTGTGCTGGCAGTGGCTCTGTATGTCCATCAGCTGCACGCTGTTACAGTGGAACAGTACATATGTTCAGTGTGGTTTGTTTAGCTTCAGGAAACCTTGTGGAAGCTGTGCTGTGGTGCTCCATGAAAAGTCCTGTGTGCACCTTAGGGAATCATCTCTGCTCTCAGAACAGTTCTAACGTTTTGGGAAGCATGAATCACACATACTTCTTAACAAGCCCGTGGCAGCCCAGACCATGGAGTACCCTGTCACCATGAGCACAGGGGTCCCTGGGAAGGGACATGTGGGGTCGGGGTCTGTGGTCCTGTGGGCAGGCACTAGACCCAGAGGTCCCCTCAGCCCTTCTGAGCCCCCTCTAGGGCCCATCGTTTTTGTCTTTGCTGGTTTATGCTCCTGCAGGCCCTCAAAAGCTCTACTGCAAGAGCTGCATGCGTTGAGAATTCAAATTTCAGCTGTGAGGATACAGCACTTGCCATCCTCACTCTCTCATTCTTCAAACCCAGTAATATGCCTTGGAAAGCAGCAGTGTAGTCTTTGTGCAGAAATGTGCTGGGCTTGCTAGAAAAGCAACTCCTGAAGTGGTTGGACACACTGTGAAACTCCATGAGTCTCCTGAGATTTGGCTCACAAAATTCCAAAGCAAAAAATAATTTTTTCCATAAAATAGTCAAATGGAGAAACCACACCACAAAGAAACCACCACAAAAAACCCTGCTTCTTCAGCTTTCAAATACAACATATATGAATCTAGCACTAAAGAAGTTAGATGGTTACACCACATGCATTTGACCCACTTTCCTCTTTTTAATCCTGCAAATTCTAACTTAATCTACTCATGAAATATTAATAAAATTCCTGCTGTTGCAGAAGATCTTTGGCCTGTTGTTAGAAGGAAATCATGCTTATGTGAGCACAATTACTAGTGAAAGTTAGTTGACTTTTGAGGACTCATAACAACTTATTACAAAAACCCCATGTTTCAGCCTTCTCTAGTGTCACTACTCTAAAGAGGATAGTATTAACAGATACTCATAGGTTTTCATGTGTACAGGTAGGTGAACTGTTTTATTATTAGGCTATTCCATAATACCTTCCTTCCTGGGAGAGTACCCTGCACAGATCAGCTCTTGCTGTTAGAGGTGGCATCATTAGCTAGCTCTCAAAGCAAATATAAATACAGAGGAAGGTCTGTTTCCAAAATAAAAGCAAGTACCCTGGGTCTGAGCAGCAAACAGACAAATGTCACACCTCCAGGTGCACACCTCAGAGCTTGGTTAAAGCTGCTTGCCCCTGCTCTTTGAAATAAAGTCTTCATACTCTGCAGAAAAGCTGAGGGAGTTGGATGGACCTCACACAGGTCCTCTTGCTACTGAGCAACTTGGTGACATTCAAACCAGGCTGAGCTACAGAATCATAGAACAGTTGGGCTGGAAGGGACCTTAAAGATCACCTTGATCCAACTCCTCTGCAACATGCAGGGACACCTTCCCCTAGATCAGGTTGCTCAAAGCCCCATCATGTAAAGCAAATCCCCCAATGTGGAAAGCACATACAGGTACCAGTAAAACAGATTTAAGTATCCATATCATATGTCTTCCTGCAAGTGACAGCACTTTCATGCACTAGTTACTCCCACAAAAATAGAGATAAGGCTTTCAGTTCAAAAATCATGGCTTTTACTTAGCATGTTTACACTTTAAGACAGATTATCTGCATGGAAACCTCCCAGGTCCTATTCTGGCAATCACAAAGGTCTGATAGTATTAAAATGACACCACACTAGATTAAAAAAACAAGTTTTCCAATCCGAAGCTAGATTAACATTTTAAAACAAACACCAGGCTGTAATTGTAGACTGTGAGAACTGGTCATGGCATCTTATCTGGCCACACTGCTGTTCTGCCTCTAGCCTCCCTAGCAGACAACACAAACCCTCAGCACTTTCATTACTTGCGGTAGTGAAAAATATCAATCACAGTAACCACTTGAATAGCTCCTTTACTTGACTTATTTGACCTAGGAAGAGGAGACAAAGGAAAAACTAAGTTATGACAGCCCAGTCAAACCTATGGGAAATAGGTCTTTAGCTCACCAGGCACAGTAGCAGTGGAGGATGCCAAAATTAGGATGGAAGAAATCTAGGCCCATGGAATCCTTTAGAGCAACCTAAGAGCAAGGTACTCTACTTCTCTCACTCAATAACAGTCACTTGTCCTCTTGTTTTTCAGTATTGAAGAAAACTGCCATAATACACTGAGCTTCTGGATGTCTATTTTTCTTTAAAATTAGTTAATACTGTAACAGCAGCATATACAACTACACTTCCTGAAACATTTCCATGTCAGGTGTTTATTTAATATTCATTCTTTACATGTGGCTGACATCTTGGTTTTGATGTCTATCACCATACACTGGGTGTCACATCAGACAAGTTGGGTGGAAAAAATGTACTCTCTCCTTCCCATCCAAACTGAATACTTATATAAGCAGTGTCCTGAAAGAAGAGTGGTTTTCCTGGATCAAGGGTCACTTTGTCCCTTGCTAGCCTACCAAAAGAGACTGACCTCATCTCAGGTCAAAAGCCTATACACCCTTCAACCCACGATGAAAAGGGCACCCAGAGTTTGTTGGTCTGCATTTCTCAGCTCATACAAAGGATGCAGGTCTAACCAAACCCAGCTTAAATCCAGGCTGACCCAGATCCAGATGGCTTAAATCCTGGTTCTTGCCTCTGCTGTGCTTCCCCACCATGACCTTCTGCAATTGCACAGGGACCATCCAGGGACTTAAATCTGGGAAAAAACTCTGATAGGGTCCCTCAGTAGAGTCTGGCTGATGTATTTGGTATTTTCCAAGTGGATGCTACAGCACTGTTGGATGAAGGTAGAAGCTGGTTGCACAGTAGATTTACATCAGTTCATGCTGCTTAAGAGTCCTTAGCTTCTAGATCAGGTTTAACAAAAGACCAACCAATTCATTTTATCTGGGAGCAAAGGGTCTGCAATACTGAAATCAGTTCAAAAAAGATAAGCTAACAGGAGGAATTATTCTTTAGTTCCCACAACCACCTAAGGTTTTGGTTCCTCAGGGAAGCCAGCACTTTCACCCTTCCGCTCTGACAGTATTTCGGAGAGCTTTTTGAGATACTCTTCCTGCTTCTGTTGCCAAGGGCACACCACAGAAAAGTTCTCTGTCTAAGCTGGTTTCTGTTTACCTCGTTCTTACAAAACTTCCATTCTTGTTCACTGAAACTGCTACTTGGTTATCCCATAACACTGATACCATTCTTTACACTTCATTTACTTACATTCCAACAACAGCATTAGTAAGGTAATTGTGAAATAACTGTTTCTCAAGAGATCTGATTTATTAATTCTCAAAACTACATCTACAAAAAAAACC